TTACACCTACCTAGCATAAATCATCATAAATTTTGCAAAGTAAATGTACACTTTCCATTTAACAGCCGTTCTTTAGAAGTAGTCTAGTTGTTCAGTGAGAAATTTTTCCGCCAAAATTTTAAGTGCTCCAACGTAAGAACTACGCATGCCTCAAGGCTGAATTTGAAATAATTAAGTTGTAGTTGGACAGGAAATATTCCCCTGAAGTATCAGCTTTCCAGTTTTTCTGGTTGCCGAATTGGCAATTTTCCCGCCAAAATCTTCACGGTGCTCTATGACCCTGGAAAGCTAAATTTGAAATTTACAAATTGCACGTGGACAGGGAACATCCCCTTAAAATTTCAGCCTTCCAGCTCTTCTGGTTGCCGAGTTAGTAATTTTCCTGCAGAAACTTTTATACGCTCTTACGTGAGTGCCACGCACAGCTTAGGGCTGAGTTTGAAATATTTGAGTTGTACTTCGATAGGGAATATTCTCTCAAAATTTCTGCTTTCTAGCTATCCTCGTACCTGAGTTATCAATTTTCCTCCTAGAAATTTCATAAGCCCTTATGCGAGTACCACGCATACCTAAGAGCTGAATTTGAAATCTTTAGCTAGTTCATGCGCAGGGAATATCCCTACCAATTTTCAACTTCTTAGCTTGTGTGGTTCCGGCGATCGCTTTTCCACCAAAAAATTTGCATATTTTTTTAAAGCGTCCGTACGCGGCACCCAGGTGTCCGAGGGGGATGAAATCAAAACGGGAGGGTCGCGCACAGTATTGGCATATATCCCCAAAGTTTCGGCCTTCTAGCTTTTCTGGTTCTCGAGTTGAAAGTGGGTGACAAAAAGTGCGAATACACACACACAGCGTCTTCCCAATATGCGCTTTTGCCATTTGCACATATGCAACAACGCATAAAAACGCATAAAAATCCAAGCACGCAGATAAACTGAATGTTCATTTACATATATGAATGAGGGAGGTCTTTCGCTGCAAAACACACTCGTTTCTAATTTTTCAGTGAAGTTGAGCATTTTTCGTAACCACCTGCAGGGTATTTCAATTCCAAGCAGAATTAAGACCGCACTTGGAAGTAAAATATCCCAGCGAAGTTTCACCCTTGCACCTTTTCCAGTAGACGAAATATCCACCTCGCTACAAATATCTTTGAAGTGCCCTAAGTCGTGGTGCAAATGCAAATCGGCACTCCTTTTAGGTATATGATTACCCATATGGGCAGTAAACATGATGACAAAATTTCAGCCACTGTTTTCCGGGTCGAGTTAGCACAGTAGCAAGTAGCAAACTTTGACGTGATCGTACGCGCTGCACAAGCGTGCGCGACAGCTGAATTTAAAACCTTTAGCTCGTACATGCACAGAGAATATATCTGCAAAGTTTCAGCTTCGCACCTTGTCTGGTTCACAAAATCGTTTTCCGCCAAAGAAATTCGCATATTTTTTTCGGGAGTCCGTATGCGGGGTCTAGGCGCGTATGGGGGGAGGTCTTGAAACGGGAGGGTGACACACGGGGTAGGAGCATATACCCAAACTTTCACCTTCCAGCTTTTCTAGTTGCTGAGATGAAAGTGGGTGACAAAATACACTCGCTCCCGAACACCACACAGGCAGCCTCTCGACAATGTGCGTTTTTGCTGGGTGTAGCAGCGTTGTAGCGCTGCACAGCCAACAAAAACGCACATTGTCGAGAGGCAGTCTGTGTGTGTGTGTTCGAGAAAGTCATCGAGAGTCAGCCCTATAGCGCTGCACAGCAAAAACGCAAACAAACCACTGATGCAATCAACGACCTGAGCATTTCAAGTCTGGTGCAAAAATGAATGATCGCACCGGCGAGCCTAATGCTTTCCAGTACAGGCTTGATTTCATTTAAAATAGCTTGCATTTTCTGATGAAATTTTATCTTAAGGAAGCTGTTGCAAACATTTAAAGCACGCCACTGTCAAGCCAGTAGTTCGGTCCTGTAAAATAACTGATTCCTTTATCATACGTTGATTTCTTTCTTTGTGCGCTGACAATGGCACATATCAGAAAGCTATAACTTTCATCAATTTTCTCTTCTGCAACCTTCAGTAGAGGGCATTTTCGACAACTGTACCAAAGTGTAATTGCTATTCCAACACTCGGCCTATTTCCGAGCATCTGGCTATGTATTAGAGGTGGCTCTTGTAGAATGTGAAATACGGAGACTACTTTAAATTTACTTGAAATTGCTACAGATTCAGAAAGCTTCAGACAGTTTTTCTCTTTCTTCCTTTCATTTAATTTTTCTGTTGAAGGAAATGAGATTCCTATATGTTATTAAACATTCTTATATTAAATATTTTTGTTAGTGAAATATTCATAAAGTGGAAAAATTTGCCACTGCATTTCATTAGTAGATGCAGAAAACGTGCGCCAGATTTGGAACACAATGAAACCGTCGTCCTATGACTTCCGGAATATACCTTAATTTGCGTATTCTAGGAATTCTTTGATTTTTCTGAAGTCCTGAATCCTGATTTTTTTTTTTTTTTTCACTGGCTGTCGAGTGTACTTGACATTCGTTTCTATTTCATAACGCGTTCGCCATCAAATTCGCGACATGAAGCCCATTGACAGGTTCAGTAGTGCAGTGAGTGACGCCGCATTTTTCTGACACTTTTTGCTAACGAGGGAATAAGTGCAAATTGAAATGTTGCATGAAATCTCACTTGTTCGTAGCAATCATTGCTCCATCAGCTGTAAAGATGGTGAAAAGCACCTGCTCTATCAAAGTTCACAGCTCTTGCTCACCTCCATCCTGAAATGCTTCCTTTTATTCTTGTCCAGGCGTCCTCTACTCATTGTCGATCTGGGAATTCGGCGATCTAGACGATTGAGCAAGCACGAATAGGCTAACAACGGGCGTGTTTGAGCGGTGCAAACTACGTATCGACATTTGTCCTTTTTTTTGAATTTAAGATTTCGTTGCAGGTGTAACAGAAAGATACTGATGGTAGCTGGAGAACTGGAATGGAGAGGCTTCCAGATGATATCCTACATGCCGAAGCTATGGCCGCCAGTGCCACTGGCGCAGCAAAAAGCATAAAAACCACATGGATCTGGAGTCGTTGAGAAATGTGTCTCGTAGGGAACGGAGTAACATAAATGTGATCCCAATCAAACTTCTGTCAACGGTACCAACTGTTCCGGAACATAAGCTAAACATTTCCGGACTATTCTTCCTGATCATACCAACAGTCACGATACTCGGAAATTTCCTAGTTATTGTAGCTGTACTGCGCTTCAAGTCGCTGCAGTCAGCCATTAATTTTCTAATTCTTGGCCTGGCTGTTGCTGATCTCCTCGTCGGCCTTTTCGTCATGCCATACGCAGTTTATGTTCATGTATGTTCTACATGCTCTTTGCCGTTCACAGCATTAGCGTAGTCGTATGGATGCTTCATTTCATCTGAAATGCGTACCTCAGACTCGGAGTTATTTTAAAAACCTGCTATCAGTTTCAAAATTCTCAAACGTTACTGACAATTATCGCAAATATAAAATAGTTGATAGAGTGCGCATCACGGTGCCGACGAGGTCATGCGTTTTTACAGTAACGAAAGACAACAATTAAAACTCGGCATTGCTGGACTAGGTCAGAACGCGAGTTGCAATGGCTGAAAGGTGGGAGGGGCAGGGGACGGGTAAAAGGGTAGAGGCCGCGGGGGAAAGAGGAAAGGATGGCGGTTTAGGTTTTGGGAGTTATAAAGGAGGGAGCAAACGGGGTTATAGGTTGGAAGAAACTGTAATCTTGCTTGAAACAGTGGCAGGGTTTGCAGGCGAAGGTCTATGTAAGTCTTTTATATTCAGTCCGAAGCTTTATGCTGAGCAGAAATTAGCAGCCTCGAATGCGACACCTAGGATCTCGCCTAGACAAAAAACCGGCGGCATTACTTTCTTAGAGTTTGAACCCGAACTCAAAAACCAGTGAATATTGCACGACTGAACCGAACCGAGCCGAACCGAGTTTTAGCAGTTGCCGTAGCGAAACGAAAACGAATATTAGCTCCTGCAGTAGAAGTTGTCGCTATGATTATTGATTATCCATCCCTGCGAATAAGAGTACGAAATGAGATTTGGCTCAATAAGGCAATTCGTGGCAAATTGAATTCTCAGAATTTCGAGTTTATAGCTTTTTTTCGATCTCGATTTATAGAATTACCCCGAATTTAAACCCAAACATCACAGGTTAAGATGGTAAAAAATTTAAGTTAGTTGCTGATTTGTGGTCTGCATGTGATTGGATAGATTATCTCAAAATTCTAGTCATTTGTTTTTCTTCTTAAATACTTGTCTGAATTTAGACCTGAGGGATAGAGGTT